AATTTGAATATGATTTTTTATACACGTGAAGTTATAGATTTTATGCAAGCTAAGTTCGCCCATCTCCTTTAGAATTCTTGAACAATATTAAATTTGTGAAATATTTTTATCTGGTTTAGAACACAAAGAGAATAGAATTACAAATTCATCGCAATTATCGAGTTTCTTTGCATTTTGGTATGCATTTTATATCAAGTTATATAGACAGGCAGTACAGTAAAACTCGTTTAGTACGAACACGGATATTGCGAATTTATGGATATAACGAAGTTATCTTTGAACCCCAGTTATATACATTTAATGAATTCCTTATACGGATATAACATTACGGATATAGGGAAGTAATATCACAGATCCAGGCGACTTCGTTATAACCGTGTTTTACTGCAATCTGATGATCTTGACTTCTTTAGGCAAGATAAGAACATTTTAGGAAAGACTTAGCTGTACAAGAGATGCGATGTCTGCTTCAAATAAAGCTATCACGAAGCTGCTTCCTTTCAACAAATCACCATTCAGTTTAAAAGCTGCCATTTCAATTTGTTACCCACAAAACACAATTACAAATTTATCTTAACCATACGTTTCTGGCCAGTCCCATTGTATCGATTTGAATAGAAAAAAAAATAAAGGTTGGTCACAAGCCATCACAGGCGTTTGTCTTGGATTTATAAAGGATATTACTGCCCTCATTTATCCATGGCTTGCTTCATTGTGGCTATCGAATGATTAACTGTTGTTTTATGTCACGTATAGTATTAATATATCTCTAAGATAAGTTAAATCGGGCAAATTTATAATACATTGTGTAGTAAGAAGACTAACTGAGGTCAGACTGCATGGAAATGTCGCCATTTTGTTTTAGTGGCGACCATCTTAAAAATGACTGAAATCACGGTGGTGGTATTTTTAGATTTACTAATATCAGAAAGACATTTGTGTCAAATTTTAAGCTTGTGTCTACAAATGAAATATTTTTTTCTTTTAATCTAAGCCGCTACACCATTTAAGTGTTTTTTTATTCAATTTATTATGCATATTAAAATTTTTACATCTTTAATCTTGAATGAACTTGAAGCACTGCTTATAAAGAACTGAAATCATTTCAGATTTAAGTATTTATAAAGTAAATAATATTTATTTGTATTTACAGAAAGTTATGGGATTGTACACATTAAGTGTATGTATTTTCCTTTCTCTTGGAGTATCTAAAGGTAATCTTCTTTCCAAAGATTATTTTAAAGCAATTTTTCATAACCCCAGAGTGAATGTAATGGAGGAAAACCCAGATTTTAAAAGTGTTATTTGGAAATACCCTTGCAACATGTGCAATAAATTGTTTTGATTTGATCGTTTTTTTCTGCAGTTAGATTGATCTGTCCTTAGATCTGAATTCCAGTAAATAGAAATTTACAGTATATCACTCAATTTTCAATCGATTGAAGTTTTCTTCACACGTAAAAGGCCAATATAAATTAATTGAATATGTTCTTTTTGTGTATTTTCTACATGAAAGTAAATCACAGCGATTTCTGTTCAATAAGACTCTGTTATATTTAAATATTTTCCTGGGGGTAACTGACACATATCAGGTATTTAAAATTATATAGGAAAGTTCAATATTTACACCTTTATTCAACATAATTTTCTTAAAGTCGAAAAATCATTTTGTGCTGGTGTAGAGAGAGTCCTTAAAAATGTTAGAGTACTAGTATTGGAAAAAACTGAATGCATGTGCTTGGAATATTGCATGTACTTATATATCTGGAGTTTTGATGCACAATAATTTAGTTTGACGAGATCATGGGTGCTTACGTGTCACTATGTATAAAAATAAATAAATAAATCTTTATTTTGTAAATTCTTACTTCTCTTTATAGGAACGATTAGAGCATACTAACATTGGGAGAATATATAATAGCGCGTGATTGAAATGTTTCTTTTTTATACAATTAATATTCTGTATCAAGAGTGTACGGTTTTTCTAAGAAACGAATAAGTTCCCACTATATATTTACGAGTTGCCTTCTGTAGCTTGTTCCATACACTTACAAAAAAATATGGGATTTATTTCAATGTGCATATGTATTTTTCTTAGTCTCGGACAAATTAAAGGTAATCTTTCTTCTAACCTTTTAATAGGATAATTATATATTATTATTTTTTTTTTACTTTTGTTATTAAGAAAAAAAGTTTTGCTTAAAAATTATGCCGTATCGTCATTATTTTAAAGCTCCTATATATGTTTAAATGGATGCTTAATTATAACATAATTTCAAGAAATATCATGAGTGTTGGAGGAAATTCTTTCTCTAGTTTGCATTGGTTATTGGAAAATAGAGAAAGAGTTAAGTGAAAACAAAAACAAAAACGAAAGGCTAAAAAAATCAATCCGTGCAGTTCCAATAAACAGCTCAAAGTGGAGTATTTAAATTAATTAATTAATTATTGTTTTCTTTATTCGATTTAAACTAATTTTTCGACCGATTTCATCGTTATTTCTCGATCATGACAAGAAGCATACGGTGGGTGTGACTGATCGGCAGAGGATTCTCGCTCCTCTTTGGCACCTGATCTCACTTCTGATGTTTTTGAAGTCCGTATTTGCTCTTTTCAATTTACATAGTTTATTGTAAATTAAGCTCGGATACTGTTCATTATCTCCATATATTTCATATTTACATTTTCAACGTATGGTCTAAATTTTCATAAAATCCATTTTGAAAGCTTTGGAATTTTAAATTTAAATCTATTGATTATCAAACGATGAACTGAAAAAATAATTATAAGGAGCATAACAAAATGTCACTCATATTATCTAGTTAGATTTATTTATATGTGTTTGCTCAAAACATTTCTCAATTAGTTCATATATAGATTCTGTTAAGACAAATTCTGGCACACTGTTATGCTACATGTACATATATTTATCTTTTTTGTTTTTTTTTTAAATATATATTTTTTCTACATGATAATATTATCTGACATCCTTGTCAAAAATTCATGATTTTTTAAATTTATTAAACAATAATATCGTTTTTGGAAATAATAATACTTAGCAGAATAGAATTTTTTGTATTGTTTGACAGCCACCATTTGTATTTCTCTCAGTTTATGTGCTTCACGGAATGGTTCAATATATATGTAATCTTTAATTATATTTAATAACTAAAATATTTACTACAATGCCTTGGAAAATCATTTATTTTTCATACCAAAAAACTCTTAATAAGCACTTTGGGATAGCCTGTTTAACTATTTATTCACATAACATTTATCTTTTCTTTGCAAAATATAAAATGAAGCGTATTTACTGTTTTAAAGCACTTTCCCCACTAAATACCAATGTTTAACAAAATTAATTAAGAAAGAACTGCGAACGATATTATTGTTCTCCCGTCTACCTCCAAGTCAATTTTCAAAAGTTAACTTATTTGATGAACGGATTTTCATAAAACAATACTTATTTGGGAAAACAAAGAGAGATAATTCTAAAATGTTGGTAAAACTTGTGTTTTCACCATAGAAATCAACGAAAAACGGAAAATATTTTTAAAACATCTCCCCCCCCCCCTGTTTCACAAAAATTACAAAAATTCCTTTTTACAGGTAATATGGAATGTTATTTCACAGATTCATACCAAAGCTTTTTGTGTGACACGGGGAAGAACATATGTTTATTGACAAAAAACGATAAAAATGCTTATTTTACATCCATTTCAAGGCGATATACAACTGAAACATTATATTTTATTGAAATATTTATGTTTTATTTATTTGCCTAAAACATAAGATAGGATATAAGGAACATTTAATCATATGCAAGACTATTTCAAAATATGGTGATGCTTGAAACTCCGATTTCAATGGAAAATATCGTCTACCCCCCTTTTTTCAAGGGCTTGAATTATGCATAATTTACTGTTTAGCGCTGGTATTAAGACAATTTATCAATTACCATTGAACTGTTCTTTGTATTAAACAAAGATTTTATGGCCAAATTGCTATTTATATTGAATTAAATGGTTCCAAAATGTAGGCGGGAATCAAGAGTTAGCGTGCGTATTTCTTACAGTTGAAAAATTAATTTCAGTCTTTAGTAACAGATTTAAAAAAAACGATTATTTTTCAGATGATATTTATATTACTAGATTGACGTAGTAATAGAATGTTTTTGACATTATAATAAACTGAATCTCTTTAAGAAGGTGTAATAAAATATTAATAAAGAAAAAATACTAAATATAATTCGCTTTAAAGTGCGAAAAATTGGTACTTTCCAAAATTAATCCTTTAATTAGTAAATGTACCTGCATTTTGAAACGGCCCCATGAAAATACCTGGACGGTAGATTTTCCACAAGCTTTGCATGTACGTTGGCCACAATGTAAGTTACATATGTTACATATGCTATCAAATTAAAGAGTTTCACTATTGCAGTTTTCGCACAATAAAAAACCCCAGGTGGCTCCCTTAAAGGGCATCGAAGTTATCTTTCTCTCTTCAACAATTACAAGACACACAATGCTTTATTTGGACATGGCAGTTGTCATTTCTTTTTCGGAGCACGGCGTTAAAAATATTTTTCTTCTCTATGTTTTTGTATGTATGTATTTTAATTAAATTTAATTTGTAATTATAATGTGAATGGGCGAGACACTGTAAATCAGACCAAGCTCCTGTATTTTATTTCCAGATGGCTCCAAAAAGAAGAGTTGGCCATAAATACTGTGTACAAAAAGATAATATTTTCTACCCTTCCACAGTCCCATCTGTAAACAAAATAATATCATAGGATGTAAAAGAACCTGTATCGAAATTTATAGAGTCTTAATTCCTCTTTTTCGGGTTTCTAACATCGTTTTTTTTTATACCTTTTCCTTTATTGAAATTTATTTTTTTTTTATTTTGAAGGTGGAAAAGTGGAGGATATAACCATTATTGGGGGCGGAATCGGGGGTACCTACACAGGATGGAGGCTCAGGAACAAAGGCCTCCGGATAGGAATTTATGAATACTCAAATCGTGTTGGGGGCAGGATGTACACAAGAACTTTTCCAGATGCCCCCGACCTCCCGGTTGAGTTAGGAGCCATGCGACTGAGGCCAGCAGACCATCTAAGAATGATTAAAGCCGGAAGAGAATTAGGGTTAACATTTGTTCCTTTTGTTGAAGAATTTGGGCGGATTCCCGAACGCACCCGCCTTTTCCTGCGTAACACGCACCTGTGGATCTCTGAGTTAGGGACGTCCAGAGCCCCTTACCGACTTAGGCCAGAGGAAAGAAGAGATCCTAATGAATTAGCAAGGTGAGTTCTAACACTTTTCTCAAAGAAGATTCAGAGAGCCTCACATTCATTGCTATCGTATTTTAAAAACATGATTGAAATCTTAAAAATAAATTCCATGCTCCTTTCTTTCAGTACATTGATTTAAAGTGCAGTTTTAATGCATCTGTTTATTTAAGGAATGACTAATTCTTGGCCAAATTATCGAGTATAATCTGGTTTGGGTCAGTTTACGCTTTATAATCCGCGAAGTGGATTATAAAAAAAAAACGTAAACTGACCCAAACCAGATTATACTCGATAATTTGGCCAAGAATTAGTCATTCCTTATAATTTAATTTTAAAATAATTACACAACTTTGGATGTAAAATTGTGTTGCTTTTTACGAGTTCAAATTTGCCGCGCAATAATACAACCTTAGTAACGGAAGTAATGTGAAGCGAGGGGAGGTAATAACTGATACATAGATCTAGCAGCCATGTTGTGTGTTTACATGAGGTAAGATCGAGTTAGTGTCTGAAGTTAAAATACAGTTAGTAAATCTTGAATTTTCCATGGATTCCAAGGATTGGAAATGAGGGGATTGCATGTATAAGATGATTAAACTGGTCGTCAAGGGGGTGTGTCCCAATACCAAACCAGATTGTACAAAATGTTTTACGTTCTGTTTTGGAAATCAACCAATGAGAGGCGAGAATATACACAAAATTAAAATATTTAAATTGTTCTAATTATTGTTAAACACACTTAACATGTAAACGATATGGATTGATTGAAATTGGTAAATAAATGAAATTTGATTTACGTCAAACATCTTAAACTTATACATCAACACCTTGTCTGTTTTTAAGGCACCAAATATTGATTTACGAGATTTTTTATGCATTATTTTTGTTATGATTTATTAAGATCGGCATAAATGAATATTTTACTATCTTTAAACTGAATTACCGACTTTTTCCCATCAAAGTTATACAAAATTAAAAGTTCATTAACAATTTAAGATTGTAATGGCATTTTTTTTCAACTTGCAGGTTACTATCTGAACGGTTTACAAACTATAACGGTTCTGACCCAAATACAGAACGGTTTACTGCTGTCACTCTCAGAGATGGAGTACCTTTATATTTACAGAGGTTTGTTATGATGATTTACGCCTAAACAATAGAATAATATTTCTTTACCTTTTAGTAGAAAAAAAACTATAAAAATCTGTGAATCTTTTTTTCCCGCTGATAACGGATCATATCATTTTTTGTTCCAAGGGATTTCTTATTTTTCTTAACGAAGTATTTTAGCTCATCTGAGCCGAACATAATCAAGCTTTACTGATCAAATTTTGCTTTATGTACGCAAATCAGTCTGTGAACTTTTAACAAATTCTACTTTTCCCCCCTCATAACCACTGTGGGAAATTCAAACAAACTTGCAAAAAAGAAGGTCGATGTTGATGACAAAATCCATGTTTTTGACAATATATATATATATATATATATATATATATATATATATATATATATATATATATATATATATATATATATATATATATATATATATATATATATATAAAGCACTAAATAACCAACAACACTGTATATCCTAAATGTCGGATCTACCAAGTAGATACAAGGTCACGGATGCAAATTTATATAAAGCACAAAAATGACCAACGACACGAACAATAAAAATTGTCAAATTTTCGGGACGCCCTGTCCCTTCCTCAGGACAAAGAAAAAAGTTAAAAAGTCATAAGAACAAAGGAAAAACAAAAACAAAAACAACTAGCACTACTACTAAACACTATATATTTACAAACTTAGTTACATGTTGAATTGGAAATTTTTAAGAACACTATTAAAGAAAGAACTCCGGGCCGCTATGAAATACGTTTGATTTGTCAGGTGTACTCGGGTGAAGTGCGATTTACATAACTGATCGAATTAATTATGCTAATTAATTACGACAATCAGTAAATCGTACATTGTTTCATTCTCTCAATATGGCGTAACTATACTTAATAAAGAATAATCAAAGAAAAATAATATAGAAAGGATATTTTAAAATATGAATTATGATCTATTATAAATTGTGAAATATTTTGGGACTTATTATCGGGAAAAAATAATTAACAAAGGCGTAAACAATTTATAGTTATGTGGGTTGTTCGAGAGTTGGTGACGCAGATGAACTGTAGAGTTAACACTAAATTGAGAGAATAATCTTGTTTAGTATCTTCAGGAATTGGGTCTAGTTTACGTTCATTCTGGTGAAGTCATTCAGTTTGTTAATACCATTTGGGCGGAATGACTTCAATCTGTGCATCCAGAACTTTTCTTTGCTTTTTCTCTTGGCGTCTGTCCATCTTGGGTTATGGTCAATCACCACTACTTTCATGTCCTCCCATTTGTGACCCTCAAGGTTGAAATGTTCCCCAAGGGGTTCATTGAGTTTTTTGGTCCTAATGGTCGAACGGTGGTTATTGACTCTCCTGCGGAGATCTCCTGTTTCACCAATATACTGTTTGGAGCAAACTTTGCAACTGATGAGATAAATGCAGTTGTCAGTATGACAGGACAAATTCCCTAGTATTTTGTAGTATTTTGTGTATTTTAAAGGTCTAAATTTGAAGCCCTTAACCGGCATACGATGACGTCTCTAAGTGATGAAAAAATCCCATATGAGACAGCACCATACAATCAATGATTCAATACATGTTTATTACTATATTTAAATTACTCATGTATTTTGCATATAAGGTGTGGAAATTAAAGGCATCCAAACGACAATTATACGAAAATGGGGTTAAAAGGTTAAGTATTACGTTTTATTTTGACGAAACAAACGTTGAATGCAGTGAAGGAAATACTAGAAAAAATCTAATTAACTGAAACGGTGTGTGCAAACAAATTGAATAACGCGCTGACGCGTAGTTAGGGAGATACATGTATATCTTTTTAAAAAAAATAATGATTCATTGCTTAAATATATTAGCAACGTAAGGATAAACATTTGCTTGAAGTTTCATATATACATATAAAATACATGGTTACCCTCGCGATATTTGGGCGAGGGTAAGAAAACGTGACAGAGAGCGATGCTTGCCGAGCACTCCATCACGTTTTCGACCCGAGCCTAAATATCGCTTGTATTTCAGGACAGTAACCATATATTTTGTTTATCTTGCAAAATATATTTACATCTTACCTCCAAAATGAACTATTTTCAACCCGATTTAGACACATCTCACAGAGGAAACTAAGACTCCATGGCGTAAACTTTGTAATATGCATATTTTAGAACGTCGGAATACATGCATGAGGCTTTATAAGGGCATTAACCGAATAAAGCTCTGGTTTATTAGGTTACCTTTATTAGGTCAATGCAAGGGGTAGTTGCAGAATAAAGTGTATTACATGCTTTTCTCAAGTGAAATTAAGTTTATGTGACAATGTCATAAAAGACCTCAATCCCTAGAATCTTAAAATTCATTTTCAGCTACAAAGAGGTTTTACGAAAAACTGGAATAAGTAATGAAGGATATAAATATTTACTGGACAACTCTTTAGTCAAATCTGGTTTTGGAGATGACCAAAGCATTATACGGTTTCCTCGAGCAAGACGAGGATTCGAAGAGAACACGACTCCCAATAGACTTCCACGGGTGGTTACTATTCCGACAGGATTGGTTTCATATCCCATGGGATTTCTGAGACGATTCCTGTCAAGGAACCCAAAAAGGTATTGTCAAAGATATATTTTCAGAAAAGATAAATTATACAAACTTTAACAATAGATAACACTTAATCTCATGGCTATATTCTTAAAATTAAGAATACTAGTAACCCGCAGGAGAAAAAATTTCCAATAACATTTACACGTAACCGTTAAAAAAAATATAGCTTATTTATGTAAATGAACAGACGGAAATAAAGGCATTCATTCAGCTGGCTTAAAGGTTAGGATGGGTAAAGCATTTTATACTCATAAATTAAAAGAGATACCTTTATCATCCACCTTTCTATTCTACCAATTCGTTGAAAACGGGAGAATATTAAAAAAATAAAGTGACTTTATACTTCATTGACTAAATGACGTCAGTTTTGAACACATAAAACTAAAAGCGAACCATTGGGTTGAACTTGTATATCAAACCACAGTACGATACAAGCTAAAATATCCCAACAGAGAGGCATAACAAATTCCACTCCTCTATTATTGATTAGTTTTTCCCCTTATCAATCACAGGATGAAAGTTAAGGCCTTGATTACTCTGAAATATATCTTAATGTTTAGTGAGAAGCGACTCAATGTTGACCATTATTGTTTTTGGTAAGTAAATTATCCAAAGAAATGCGTGTTTGACTTTGCACTTAAAAGTATCAGTTTGTCTTTTCAAGCCGATCATCGTACCAATCTTCAAAATTTTAATTCTTATTGTAGACACCGGTATCATCCAAACAGCCAACTCATTAGAATATCAAGAATAAAAAGAGGACTTTACCGATTGATATTTAGAAGAACAAAAACTATTAATGGCAGAACTATTCCTACAACTAGATACTTCAGAGTGGTTACTCGTAATGTAATACTAGCTCTACCAAAAATTGCTATACAGCGGATTCAGATGCCAAATTCTGACAATCCAGTCTTCCAGTCGGCACTCAATTCAGTAATTGATAATCAAGCCTCTAAGATATTCCTTGTGTACGATTATCCATGGTGGCTTAATGAGCGATACAATTTCACGTTTACCCAATCAGATCTACCGTACAGACAATCTTTCCATTGGGGGATATCTCGCACTGGTAAAGCAGTTTTTCTCATGTCGTATGCTGATTTCGATGATGTCGCGTTCTGGAGTCAATTGCAAAGGAGAGGAAATGTCATAAGCAAAAGAAATGATGATACCCGGGTAACGGACGAGGTTATAAGACACGCACATATTCAGATTTCCAAAGTTTACAAGATAGACTGCAGACATCTCCCTGCTCCTGTTGACGGAATTATGTTTGCTTGGGACAAGTACCCGTACAATGGAGGCTGGGTATCTTGGAAACCCGGATCAAGATGGTACGACATCAAAAACTATCTGACAGCACCTTTTCCTGGAGACAATATATTTATTGTACATGGTTACTGGGGAGCGGAATATAATGGTTGGGGGGAGAGTTCCTTGGATGCCGCAGATGACGTATTAACTCACTTTGGAGTTCCATCCTATCTTTATAGCATGGGTAAAAAATGAGTATCCTTGTTACTTAGTTATGGAAGACAAACAATTGCAAACTCAGTGATTATCAAACGTCAGTCGCGATTTTTTTGTGAAAAGTTGAAAAATTATTGATAATTCTTGTAACACCAATAAATGATTACAGTAATTATATTTTATAAATAACAATGCATTTATTGATGTTTTAAAGCTGTATTATGAATCTCTTCCATGACAGTGTTTTTATTTTACTTACTATAATTTTTCTCTCAGTCGTGCTTAACATTCGCACTTTGTTTATTTACAAGATCCTGTCTTGGCAAATAAATTAGTTGTTCAAACAATTTATTTGAAACTATTTTATCGCATAATATTATGAACGTGAAATATATACGTATATCATGTCTATAGTATAACCTGGTCTAGTAGATATTAATAACTGGAAGACGGTATAGGGTTAGATTCTTATTTATTCCGTGCAAATAAACTTTAAAGGTTGTTGAATTATAAGTTTCAATGTTTGAATGTTTCAAATCAAGCCTAAAATCAAAATACAAAACTCACTTTACAACATAAAACGAAAATATTTACAATTAAAAAATTACAATAAAAATAAAAACAAACCGAAATAAATAAAAAAAATAGTCAATGGGGAAGGCTTGATTTTGAGTTATATGAGTTATGTTTATATCACCAGGGCAGTACGTTTAATTAACCCTATGAACATTTCATCGGAAATTATATTTGGGTAATGTTGGATACCGGTATATATAAGCATGGTACAAAAGGGCAGTTACCATCCATCCCCTCCCCCTCCCCAGCAAAACCAACCATAGAGGTGCAAATTCCAAGGTTCAGTGCCTGACTGGTAAAAGTTAAGACCAAAATCACCTGAAATTGTCTTAAGTAGGCCTTGTTCCTATACAAATTAAGGATAGTAATTTGACATAAGTTATTGACTTTTACAATTTAAACGAAATTCCTTGACTTGGATATACCGGGTAAGCAGAACTTTTAGCGATGATTGAATGCATATTGTTTAAAGTCCCTTTAGAGAATGTTTCACTCATATGAAGACGCCACCACTTGAAGGTGGAGAGCTGCAAATTTCTTCCTAATTTCGGCACTCAGGGCCATTGAGCAGGTAAGGTTTTTTTCCGTGAAAGCACCTACTACGACACGGGACCTCGGTTTATACGGTTTCAACCGAAGAACTGGTCTACACGTCCCTCAGTGGGATTCGAACCTGCGACGTAAAGATCAATTTCTTACTTCGCGACTCTAGAGCACACACTCTAAACACTGCTCCACCCGGGCGACGAAGTTTTAGCGAGGATTTAATTTTGGCATTATTAGCGAGGGTGCCAAGATCGCTAAATTTGAATATCGCTAAAAATTAATTTTGCTTAATTTGTAATAGCTTCTTTAGTGAGCAAAAATTACATTTGGCTAAAAATAAAATACGAATTTTTAAGAATAAATCGCTGAATTTGTGTCTCGCTAAAATTTCAATTCATAGGCCTACATTGAAATAATTTAAAATGAAGATGAAATGAGATGAAGCAGTATCGATGAATCACCTATCGGGACAGGGTAAATTAAGAATGCATTCTGTTTGTCATATAGATGTATTATCTACCCCCTCCCTTTTTTTAACCAGGCGTCAAGTGTGATGAGAGGTACCATTTCGACAAAGAATTGCCATTTTGTACAAAGTTAAAAAAATTATGTAAAATGTTATAAATTATATAGATGATTTTTTTATTTTACAGGAAATTTGGGAGACATTATTTGTAAACATATACCAGATATTTTTCCCTAGGTTTGTGTTGAACGTGGCATATCTAATGACAAGACAGCGGAGCTCTCATCAGGTTTGACTCTAAGGGATAGAATGGAGATAGTTATATCTATGCTTGTGTGTTTTTCTACAGGTACATCGACTGCGCTTTATAAAAATCCCAGGATAGGTGTCTAGAATGCTAAACACAAATGAAGTATTACAACTTAAAAAAAAGAAGAAGTTATGTAACTGATTTTCTTAAGAATATGTGTTCCCCAGTCAAGAAGAATAACTCTAAAAAATGATTATATAATCAAGAAAGACTCAAAATAAAGTTTGGAATTCAAATCCTTTCGTGCAACAATTTTTATTCACACAACTCAAGTTCGTCGTAGTCTAAAAACTGGGAAAAAATTGACATTTGTAGCCCATAAAAGTTTTTAAAATCTTAAGATAAAAATAGAATTTCCTCCAATCTTGCTTTGATTGACAAGCTCCGTTGACCATGATATGAAATTTGAAGTGATGTTTTATGTCTTCCAATGATAGCACGTGTGGTTTTTTTTTACTCTACAGGTATGCGTTATATAATGACTGGAGAAAATATAAGAACTAAAGTACCATTAAAATATAAATAACATGCAATTTTTTTCCTAATCCGGGATACCTATAAATGTTTACCGGTATTCTATATTTTTTCCTTAATTTACAATGAAATATTGCATAGCTAGTGCTTTTCATTTGCATTTCCTGAAAATATATTTTGAGATTCGATAATTTCCGAATTACCGTTTAATATGAAGACCGAGGAAATATAGGTAAATACACATTTGGCAATTTTTTTCAGCGAGGGTGCCAATCATTATGATCCTCTAAATTTTGAATATCGCTATTTAAATATATACATTTTGGGTTAATTTTTCAATTAGCTTGTCTTTAGTGAGCAAAAAAATCGCTATCATTTGCATTTAAATAAAATATATTTTTAAATGATTCGCTAATTTGTCTCACTAAAATTTCAAGAAGGGTTCATGTTAGCTATTACATTGAAATAATTTAAAATGAATGATGAAAGGCTTTGAGATGAAGCATAGGTATCGGTCCACACCTGAACAATGTCACATTGACTTATCGGGCTAGATGGGTGAACAAATCCTTCACAAATAGAATGGTACACCTTCCATGTTTTGGGGTACATTTATGATGTATTATCTACCCCTATACTTCTAACGTTTTCTTGCTTTTAACCAGGCAGTCATTGTGATACTATTCATTTCTGTAACGTGATCATATGCCATGTTGTTAAAGTCAAAAAAATTATGTCAAATGTTATAAATTATATAGAAATTTGAATCTTTTTTAAACACCTGGAACATTTTGGTTTCAAGGACCTGACATTCTATCATTATTGTTTCATAATGGAAAGTTCCTGCTTATGCCGCAAATAATAAGTCCAGATTCAATTTTGGTCTGATATAAGTTTGAATCTTAGTTGAACTAGCTAACAAGCGCATATCTACATGACATTTATTAAATTTGAAATTTACAGGTCAGGTGGGTGAAAGGGAATGAAGTAAAAACTCTCATACCGCGCTAGTGGCGTGTGAATTTGTATAGGGTTATTTGAATGGATTTACCACGATAGTTATATCTATCTCAAAACTGTTTCTTACCTCAGGTACAACCAGCTCGCTTTAGTACCAAAGGCAAGTTTTGGGGCATACCCCTGGATATTTGTGGTTGTACTAGGGGAATATAGCCCAGTAGTTGACATTCATTTTGTGAATTACTTACCAACTTAAAAAAAAGAAGAAGTTATGCAAAGTTTTTTTGAATAAAGGTTGTGACAAATACTTGCCACAAAATCTAATAAAAGTTTTACAATAAATGTGTTAAAGTTAATATTTGTTTCTACTCACTAAAAAATGATTAATATAATCAAGAAAGACTCAAAATAAAGTTTGGAATTAATACAAACTTAATGACCTTTTCGTAAAGACATGTTGAAGTTTTTATTCACACAACTGCAAGTTCTGTAATTAGTGAAGAAAAAGTGATTATGAAAAAATTAGTTTCAGCAACATATAACAGTTTTTAAAACAAAGATCAAAATTATTTGTGCATTTCCTGTGAGTCTGCTTTGATTGACAAGCTCCGATGAAAAAGATAAAATTTGCAGTAGGTGCACGAAAAAGATTCTCTGTCTTGCCGACAAAACACCGGCAAGTGGTCTTTTTAGAGGATTTACAATCAATCACAGGTATGGTGACATCGATGATAATGAAAAAGTTTTATAAGCAGTGTTACTAATAGTATCCATTAGCTTACTTGAAATATAAATAAATTTTCATGGGAATTTTCTTTCACAAATCCATGATTGGTATGATATTTGACATGGTAATTCTAGTATTTTTTGGGGTTACCTTAATTTTACAATGAAATGTATTAAATGCAAAAGTGCTTTACATTTGCATTTGAAATCTACGGAAGCCTGAAAATAATTTTGAAAACGCTCTTCAATGTTTAATATCTCATAATTTGGATAAAAATCTCATTCTGACTTAAAAAAAATGCATATGGTAACTTAATAGCAAAATGGAAACCTGATTTTTTCTTTTGAAATCTTTTACAAGGTTACAACCTTATCTAAAGGATTAATCCATTTTTTTGCCAGATAGCAAAATTTTGAATAATTATGGCATTTTTAATGAAAAAGGAAAATGAAATCCATACAAAAATTCTGCTATTGTTTTAAATATAGATTATTCTTTTGATTGCCAATTTTACAAAATATTACATTACTGCCATAATGCTATTCAAACTTTCTAACGTTTTCTTAAATGAAAATATTTATTAAAAAAGACCATTCATTCACTTTAATTGAATTGATTTATTTTAACATAAATTAGACTCTTTTCAGATGTATGCAGCAGTATTATAATGTAGGCATTGCCTTAAAATCAAATCATTTTGAAATTTGTCATTGGCTCACAAGAAGATTATGATTTTCACATTGTAGAACTGCTGAAATATGGAATTTTTCTTGAAAAATTATGCTGAAAGTAATAAGTAACACATTTCATGAATTATCAAAAATAATTTGAAAAATTCTCGTGAAATTTAATCCAATAGTTATTAAATTCAATACAATTTTTTGCAGAGAAAAAAATAACGTTTAAGTGCCAAATATCAAAATATGGACATTTACCAAAAATCAGAGGTGAAATTTACAGTCACACCCGTGTGCTCGTTGAAAGGGAAATAAAGGAAAAACTATTCATGCATAAATATACCATT